GTTAAATACTTCTTTCCAATTTTTAGGACATTAGTAAGCTTATAGTTAACATACCTAGAAAAATGTAAATTTGGCTCTTAGTAGAGTTTCGCTTTGTGCTACCCGAATTCCCTGAAAACCTCGCCAGTTAGTTTCGGTAACAACCAGAACTCAAATATCAAATTTTAAGAAATTCCATCAATTCGTTCCGTAGATATGGTGAAAAATGTAAAATCGGCCCGAAAATCAGTTTTCGAGCCCTGATCTTTCCAAAAAATTTATATGTTCATTGTTTTAATACGAGGAATCCATATATTGAATTTCAATGAAATCGGTTGATTATTTCTCTTTATATACACAAAAGTGTATGTTTGGCCCGTAGTAAACGTCTAGTTGCCGATGCCTGATCTTTCCAAAAAATTTATATGTTCATTGTTTTAATACGAGGAATTCATATATTAAATTTCAATGAAATCAGTTGATTATTTCTCTTTATATACACAAAAATGTATATTTGGCCCGTAGTAAACGCCCAGTTGCTGATGCCTGATTTCTTCCAAAAGTTAGGAATTTTTGCGTATGATCGAGCAAAGCTTATATATGAAATTCCAAGTAAATCGGTTGAATACTTTCTTCAAAATGATGAAAAATGTAAAATCGGCCCGCAAATCCGTTTTCGAGCTCTGATCTTTCCAAAAAATTTATATGTTCATTGTTTTAATACGAGGAGTTCATATATTAAATTTCAATGAAATCGGTTGATTATTTCTCTTTATATACACAAAAATGTATATGTGGCCCGTAGTAAACGTCTAGTTGCCGATGCCTGATTTCTTTCAAAACATAGAAATTTTCGCGGACGGTCGAGCTGAGCTTATATATAAAATTTCAAGTAAATCGGTTGAATATTTTCTTCAAAATGTTCAAAAATGTAAAACAGGCCCGCTAAAAAGTACAGTTCCCGAGGCCTGATATATCCCAAAAGTTGATCGATCCGTGCCATGGTAGAAATAAACTTACATATAAAATTTCATCAAAATCGGTTCAGCCGATCTTGAGATACACGCGTGCACACACAGACCGACAGACCGACAGACCGACAGACCGACAGACCGACAGACCGACAGACCGACAGGTTGCTAAAAATAGTCTACTTACACTTCCCTACTATGGAGAAGTGCATTCCCACCGAAAACTCGATATGCAAAATTTGTTGCCATCACATAACCTACCTATTGTATACACAATACGGTCGGTAAAAAAGGAGAAAAGTAAAAAATATGTTCGTGTTTAATACAAAATTAAAATAAAGAGAAGAAATAAAACAATAAAATTATAATAAAAAAAAAATCATAACAAAAGAAAAGTAAAAAAAAAATTATATCACTTTAAAAGCTTTTACCATATTTTTACCCTCCATTATATTTTAATATGTCAGCAGAATAGTTATGCTTTCCCATACAATCTGCGATTATATGAGAAAATTGTAAATGTGTTTGCTGCATTAGTTTGTGTGTTTTAATTTCTAATGTTTTACAACAAAATTTTTTCTAAATGTTTTGAAATGAACAGCATTTCTTAGAAATTGTTGAATTCAGCATTTTTAGCAAATGTTGATTTGTGTAATACACACGCACGCGTAAGGATTGTAAGCTGTTCTTGTAGCTTAAAAATGAATTGTAGCCAATATTTTTAAAAAATTATAATATATTTTCAACATTATAATTTGTTCATTAGTCTCAATTTAAAAATTTACTATCAATTGAGCACCAAACAACTATGAATCGAATGAAATTTACAAAGAATTTTCCGAAAATAAACTGCTACATACGTATGTATTTTTTAATAAGGGACAAAAATAATCAGGTGACTACCACAACGTGTACTTAGACATGTGAAAAAAAAAATATTTTTAGTAATAAATATAATTGTAAGACCAAAAAAAGGTTAAGGCGCCAGCTTGTTCATAAAAATTGTTCACTAAATTATTATTAAATTGCGTAGGTACACAAGTCCGAAAGTTAAACAAATCGCACAAGTTTTAACAAAAATCTTTACACTTTTGTTATAATTTTGCTTATGGTATTTCCGAAACGTAAATATCAAAAATTCTTTGGGTAATATTCCAAAAATCCTTTTGGAAATTTGCAAATCTATGATGAAAAATAATGTAAATAAATTTATTATATTTAAATACATTCGAAACAATACAATTAAATCCAAAATTGCCTCATGATCTCATAATTTAATTGTATGTAGCTGTTTTCTGGGAGACCGAATCTTATTTGGTTTAATTTTCTAAAATTGTTTTATCTAGAATTTTTTCATTGTTTATGCTTTGGTAACACAATTTTTACTGTTACTAAATGTGTCCCTATATTCTATGGAGGGAAAATACATTTTATATGTATGTATAAAGACACTTATGTGGATGTAGAAAATTTTAAATATGATGTATGCAGTGTAGAGAACTTGCACAATATAAGAATATAAATATATAAATATTTAAAAAGTTATCGATATATACAGAGAGAATATTTACATAGAGAGTAAAAAAATATTGTTTAAAGTAAGAACAAAAATCCGTGGCTAGGTTGCTGTTTGAAATGTAATAGTGTTAGGTGTTAAAGTGCAAAAGCTACTATATTACAGGTCAAAAATTGAAACCAATTTTCACAGATAAAACTTTATAGGAATTTTTTCGCTAGAAAATTCTCAATCCATACAATATGTAGTAGATAGTATCTATAATTGTATTGTAATAACATTAAATTTTTCTTATTAATTTTAATTATGTAAAATGTAATTGCTAAAATTTTTAAATTTTAAATAAAATTTCCTTTTAATATTATTTTTGTATCCTTTTCATTAAAAAAATAAAAATTTGCTTTGTTATTTTCTGCCACCCAATTAACACAAAAAAAAAGAGAAAATTGGTAGTAATGGGTACATTGGTTAAAGGTAACAATTCATTAATTAAATGACTATTATAAGGCACAGAAGAGAAATTGTTAATTACAATTTTAAATACATACCTATACAATAATATTAAATTAAAAAAAAAAATTGTGTATTTTACGTTTTTTCTTGCATATATACAAAATATAAATGTTGTAGTACAATAATAATATTATACTTTAGAGAGGACAGATTTCGAGGAAGTCCTTAAGAGCAAATTTTAAAAATAAATACTGTAAATATACAGTAAAATAAAATGAAACAATATAAAAAATTTAAAAATAACAATTTGAAAACGGTAATATTCTACCTTTTTTTTTTTCTTGTTTTAAATAATATCCTTAAGGATGTAATTAAGAGGATATTGTTGGTCTTTATCGTTAAACGAATTTTTATTTTAGCAGTATTGTTTTTGTATATATGCTTATATAATATAAATATTTTTTATTTTTTCATTTTATATTATAATTTTTAAGGTCTAAAAAATTTCATTGGGCATAAAGGCCTCAAAAAGGATCAAAATTGATAAAGAGACACTAAAATGGTAACCATATTGTAAAAGAACATTAAAATTAGAAGTTTCCCTATAGCTTTTTGTTGTTTTTTTTTTTCTTGTATACGTTGAAACAAACATTTTTTTCATTAAAAATTTTTATTACAAATTGGAAAGTTTAGGGATTGAAATAATAAAATCTTGTATTTGAAGACGATTACACAAATTAAAAAAAAAAAAGGAGTTGTATAAAGTACACCTTCACCTTTAAGGTGTAAAAAAAAAAAATTTAAAAACTTTTTAATATCTTATGTTTACAAATATTTAATTGTAAATTCATAGTCCAGTAAATCGAATGCTTGCGGGGGGATTTAATTAAATATGTTTTAAATTGAATATATTTTCCTCTACTTTTGTAAGAGATGTTGAAATTTGTGCTAGTTATAAAGTTTTGTATTGAAGATTATTTTAATCACTACATTATGAAATGAATTTAAGGGGCATTTGGCAAAAATAAGTTCAGACAGTTATTCTTTTCTTCTTCTTTAAAATCACTACAAATTACAAGTTATTGTAAAGTCACAGTGACATATTTCGGCATTGAAGAGATTTTTCGCTTCTTTTACAAAATTTGGGAACACCTATCATACTTATAATATTACAAATGAATAATGTGTGATGGGAAAAATCCTATTAAAATTATGTTCTTGTATTTGTGTGTCTAAAAATTGATGATTGTATGTAGCAATTACATGTGAACATTACTTGGTATTCATGATGAATTCTGTATAAGGCAATATGGAGAACAATTTGCCTATAATTTCTTTATACATTTGTAGCTAAGCTGATAGAGCGTCCGCCTGGAGAGCGGTAGGTCACTGGTTCGAGTGTGAAAAAGTTCGTGGGGAAAAATTTCTTAATTTTTCTGTCTTGACTCGTTCTTTTGGTTACGTCATTTACCTTATATACTTTTTTCTCCGAACTTTAAAAACTGAATTATATTGAAATAGTTTTTTTTCTTTCATATCGTTTTTTTGTATAGTTCATGTGAAAAATTAATGATTTAAATTCGGGTCCCATTTGCAAAAAAGAAATAAAAATTTCGTGTAGAAAAAAAAACTTAAATTAAAAACGTAAAATTAGTGAATCTTTTCACAACATCACTTTTAAGTCGTTTTTTTTGTCGACAAGTCGAGGTTTCGAAAAAATTTATTATACGTAAAAACACTTGCAAAACGTGGTTTCGATGACAAGGAGAATAAATATAATTGATGGGCTTTATTTGTGTAAAATAAAGGAAAATATGGTTATGTTTGGTTTGATTCTGTTTTAAGTCGGAGGTTAAGTTGGAAAATCAGCGTATTTTTATAAAAATAAAACTTAATTCTGCACATTTATGTAAATGTGAAAAATGAAGCTATGTATTTTTGAAATAAATATATTATTAGTATAATAAAGTAATAGTCATTTATAAAATAATAAAAAATGAAATAAAATTAATAAAAATTAAAAACGCAGGAACTAAAATTGAATGAAACTAAATAATAAGACTATAGATATTATTACTTACCTTCTCTGAGTGTTACAATATAATAAGACTCTTTGGACGGAGGACTAACACCCAATTTATTTACTGCTAATGTTCTAAAACTGTAAACAGTAAATGGTATAAGGCCTGTCACCTGATATGATGTGGCATTATTTTTTGTAAAAATTTGTGGTACTTGGTCCCATGGTCCATTCTCACCAACTCTGTATTGGAAAAAATAAAACCAAAAAAGACAAATTAGAAAATAAATTTTAAAATATGTTTTTTAAGAATATTTTTTTCGTTGCCTATAACAAAAATTTTCCAGTGATTTTAATTTCTAAATTAATCAAAAATTTAAAAAAATAAGCTAAATTTCGCTATAAACAGCAAAACAATCAAATAATTATATATTAATCACCCTAATTATTTTCACAAAATAACCGGTTTCCTAATAAAATAAATTTATTCAATGTGATGTAATACAACTCAATTACATGACCTTCTAAGAATATCACACCCATTATTGATTCCAAGATTATCTTTAAATTGATTTTGTGTAACATACGTTATATAAAGACCTAGGACATTGTGAAATTCTTGGAAATTCAAAATTCTCCGAAAATCTATTTATCTAATCTTTTATTGTATGCATTCTGTTGCTATGTTTATTCCAAATTTGCCAAAAAAATTTATTTTTAATTTTTTTTAAATTTGTACGTATATTATAATTAAATTATATTACAACTAAATCAGTTATTTTAATTGCAGGTTTATTAATGCTACAACTATTTTATAATAATTAAATATCATTTCACTTTTTCATGCTTATAAGGGCAAATTTTTGCCCTACACTTTATATAATTTTCCATTTTCTTCCATTCTATTCCATTTATCTATTCTCAAATAAATTCATCATAATATTTTTAATTTAAGAAATAGATTTTGTAATCGGTCTTGCCAGTCTCATAACTAATGAATGTATCACTACGCCATATATTCATTGATTTGTTGATATATAGTCGCAATTTATAAGCGACTTATTAATAAAAATTAATTTAAAACTTACGCTTAATAGAGAATATATTGTTAAACATTAGCTTTCATGTTAATCTCTAGTAAACTTATGGATTTATAAGATTGACAATTCCACCGGAAACTGAGATCCATATAAATTCAACTTACAATTTCTAAATCATTGGTAATAGTTTAAGTACAGGTTATTTAGATTTTATGTATAATAATTTCAATATGAACTGCAATATTTCACTATATTATAATTTCAATATGAACGGAATATCCTTATTATTTTCAAGCCCTTTCGGCGCCAAATACAATAAATGATTTTCGTTTTTCAAAATATTTGCATCAGAATAATCTGAATAAATTTAATATGCATTTAGTATAGCACTCAATAAATCTACATATTTTGTTACGGTTAAATTTTTTTATTTCTCATCAGATTCTCATCAACTCTCACATATGAGGGAACGAGAGGATTGATTCCGTTTAATGCATACAAAAAAAAATTCAAATGTGAAAAAGAGACAATTATTTTAAAATAAGAAAAATTTTTTTTTTAATGAAAATATCTACCAGTACTCGTATATGACAAATTTGAAATTAAAAAGAAAAATCTAAAAAAGAATTAATTGTGGTATTTTATACTGGTATGGAAAATTGGTATGTACAAAAAGAAATTTCAATGTGTCAGTTTGTTTTCGTTTACACAATGTTACTGTAGACGAAAGAAGAAAAAAAAATATATTAAAATGTAAATAAGGAAGACTATGTGAGCACATATGTAGTTTTTAATGAATTGGTTTCTCATTTTTATTTAATTTTCTTTTCTTTTTTTGTGTTTTTTCTATTTTTATACCAGAAAACCAAAGAACTGAATAATAATAAGGATAAAAGTTTACAGAAAAAGAAAATTTTTCTTAGGTTATTGCTTTTTCGAATCTACCCAACTTTTAGAAGAACTTTTGGATTAAAAGGACTCTGTTTTTGGTTTAATAATAAAATTTACTTAACAAAATAATAATTAAGAAAATTCTTAATGAATTTGGAACTGATTGTGAAATTTTAATTTTTAACAATTATCCTTTATTCAAAATTTTTTTTTAAGTATGCATAACTATACATAAATATTTTACAGACTGCGTATAATTTTCTAATAAGAATATTAAAGCAGTACCAAAAAAAATTTAAATTTTAAGAGAGAAATTTGGTTTTGTTATGACTTTTGATTCTAGTAATTAGGAATATTTCATTTGGCATCCTATCTTCATTCTTGAAGAAATTGAAATTTGAAAACAGTTTTAATGTATGCAATTAAAGGACGGGATGCCTAGTATTCAAAATGTAATGTATGTAATTTGTGAGTTATTAAAAATGTTGTGCATATTATGATGAACTTGTTGAAAGGAAACAGTTGAATAGAAAAGACTATGTACTGTTGAGTAAAACTTACTGTTGAAGAAACCCAAAAATATTGTTTAGTACCGAGTAATTTATTGGAATATAATCTAAATTTTGTGGTAATTCAAGCATTTTTTTATAAAAATTAATTTAGGTTTACTGAATTTCATTCTTCAAGTTTATGTTTAATCATCTCATAATGAACAGAATAGTTTCCTTTGATGTATTATATTTTATATATGATGATAAGAAGGTATACATTACTTTTCGAAACCATTAATTTCTTATTAGATCCTAAGCATTCACTACATATGTTATGTACTCGTAATATAGATTGTCACAATTCAAATGTAAAATACCTGATTACACATTAAAAATATTTTCATAAATTTTAAATTGCAATTTAAAAATTCGACTTACTCTACATTATATCCTTTACTATATATCCTTTTTAGCTATATATTCTATTTTAATAGAATTTTTCAAATTTTTCAGTATAATTATTCATTATCAAATACAAATTTAGCAAATAGAAGAAGATGGGCTGCTTTAAAAATTTTCTATACCACAAAATTTTCTTTTAACAAAATTCTTCATAAAAATATTTTTCATTTTTTATACTTTTCAACTCAAATTGCATACTTGTGACCGAAAATTCAAAAAAAAAAAAAAAAAAAAACAGAAAATTATTAAAAAAATGGAAAAATATGGAAATAGAAATTTCAACTATCAAATTACTGATATTATGTGTATAATATGGATATATGCGGATACATATGCAATTATAGAAAGACTGAAATATTTAAAATTACAATAAAAAAGAAATAGAGGAAAAAGGATATTGATGACATAGACAAAAAGAGTTTTGTTTTGCTAAATTGTTAACTGACAAGGTAATTAATTTTCTTTTATAAAAAGAAAAACAGAAAAATAAAAAATTTGAGTAGAAAAATTTTTTTCCTTTTCTTATTTTTTATAGTGTTTTCTATCTCTTTCATATTATACTGTTATAATATACGTATATGAATTTTCCTGCACACACACAAACAAACACTTTAAATATTATTTCAGGAATCTGTTTGAAAATGTTAATCTATTTTCATCTGGTGATGTCATTGTGATTTACTTATGATGGTACATAATTAGTTTAGGGGACAGAATAGACGCATTAAAGAAAATGTTTTAAATTCTGATTGCTTCGAGGTTTTTACATAGAATGAGAAATGAAATTATCAAAATTGTTATATTTATGCTTTTAGTTATTCTTATATTGTTCACTATCATTATTAAAACTCTTTTTGTGTATACGACAGAAGAAATATTACGAAAAAATATTCAAAAAAAAAAATATATAATAAATAACTTATTTGAAGGACTTGTCTCTCCATATACATTATGGGGTTACATATCACAAACAAGTCTCAAAAGTTCAAAAAAAGATTTGGTCATTTTTAACAGTTATTAAGAATAAAATAATTAAATGTTTTGGGTATTAATTACTTAATTGCTCTTTTTATCTATGTACAAAATGTGATTAATTAATTTTTTTTTTAATTTATGAGTGAGAAAATTTCAGACTTAGCTAATTTTTAATTAATTGAATTTGTAATTGAAATTTATTGCTAAGTTTATGTAATATATTTTTCAATATAATGGAATTATTCCGTTAATGTTATACAAAATATTGTTATATTTGAATTAGATTTAAATTTCATGAAAAAAACACTTTAAATTTTTAAAATTAAAACCAAGTTACAAATATATTGTGTTTTGAGGAATTAAATTCAAAATTTGCAGCATTTCATAAAATCTATTAGAGTTTTGTTAAATTTAACTGTTATACTGTTTAATTATGTTATACTAAATTAAAAATTAGTTAAGACTTTTAACATTATTTTGCAATGCACTGGATAGTTGAATAATATACTCTTATATACGGTTCTGTACAATGCTCTCGTACAGAATAAATGATCCTTGGGATTCTAATATTTTTTAATTTTTTAAATTTCCGATATTTTTTGTTAAAAAAAAGTTCAAACTTCAAGATATTTTTGTTTCAGAAAAAAAGTTACTCTTTCTATTTTAGCGTATGTGTAATTATTATACAACAAACTGTTATACTGAAAATTTCTACTGAATTTCAAACTACTTATAATATTTAGAATTTTATTTGTTTATGCGTTATAATCACACTATATACAAAGAATGCAAACTTAAACTCTGCAAACAATTTAATTTTAAATTATAAAAAATGAAAATAATAATTTTAATTAAAATTAATTGAATCTTACCTAGTTTCAATAATAAAATGTGATACTGGATCATTACGGGGATTTTGTGAATGCGCCCATGATAAATTCACTGAACGCGATGTAAAACTTACTATTAAAGGCCTCTCGGGAGGATCTGGAACATCTGATAGAAAATGAAATAGATGATGAAAAATTTATAAAACAATTAATTAAAAATCATATTTTTTAAATATTAAATATTAATTTTTTTTTCTGATAATACGTGCATGTTATAATATTATTTATTTTCATATGCTATATATATACACATATATATGTACATTATATGGTACATATAACTTATCAATATCAACCATAAATTAATAATATTAGTACTACTTAGTCAATTTTTCCTTTCCGATACTTTTACGTATATACGTTTGTAATATTTGAAATTGAATTTCTGCTTATTATACTATAAATTAGGCGACGTTTTCAAATGTCACAAACTTAATTCCCTTTTTCCATAAGCACAATAAATATTAATGATAGGAAAAATATATTTTTTTAACTTAACTTACTACACAAATGTATATTATATAATATATTATAGCTATTTTATATGTGTTGTTACAAAATATTATAAACACGTACATATGGTCCAAAACAGGTTCAGTATTTTATATTAATTGTTGTCTCTGTATGTAATGAGTCTACATAAAATGTAAGCCTATTGATTGCATATACATATGTGTGCATATAAATATATGTGTATTTATTGTAATTAATATTATTTGGTTTACTTACCCTGTACTAATAAATCAACTATAGCTTCCGATATATGCCTGCCATTGACAAGACATATGTATTCAGCTGTATCGGCTGCAATTGCTGGACTAAATTGCAAACTAAAATTATCCATAAGGAGTTGTATCTAAAAAAATATATATAGATAAATATAAAATAATGTATTATAAGCTATACATAGAAAATGATATTATACTCGTATTAGCAATACTATATACTTATAAATGTAAGTGTACATAATGTTCTGTAAACATACGCGCAAGATGGGACAAAAAATGAAAGAGAAAATTAATTGTATTACATGGAAATTTTATGTTGAATTTTATGAGGCAAAACGGAAATTCTTTATAAATTTATTTGTATTATTAATTTATAGGTAGATGTAAATGTACATATACTTTTGCTTGAAAAGGATTCAGGATAAAATTATTTTTAAATGGAATCGCATGAAAATATTTTTTTCTAGCATTTGCTTTAAAATTAAAGAAATATTTTAATAGTATTAAGCAGATTTGTAAAATTATTTATTTTCTTACTCAAGGTGCCTTCTTTGAATCTTAACGTTCATTTTATATGTAAAGAAATTTGAACTGGAACTTTTTCGAAGCTCGTTTTGCTTTCATCTGTTTTTTGAAAACAATTTAATTTATGCAAAGATTAACAAAATCTATGCATAATTTTTTGAAGAGAAGAAAATTTTCATGAAGATCAAGGAGCATTTTTTGTACTCCGCTTTTATGGATGAGTGCGTATCTTTGACTGGGTAGACAAACTATATAGGAAGTAGTTGCAATATATGGTTTATATAGTATATTAGTGTTGCCGTAAATCATTTTAAAAATTTCATAAAAATTAAGCAAATGCATCAATTTCAATGCTGTGCATGTAACCAACGTCAAGCATTTTTGCAAAAACAAAGAAGATGTGAGAATATCAGTTACGATATATAACTTCGATCTAATGGTTCTAAAAGCCATCTAGCAGCTATAACATTGAAACAGTCTCTCTCAGTTAAACTCGATAACTAATACTTGAATAACTTTTAAAACGCTGTTAAATTTTTCAATAAAAGTGGCTGTAATAGTCAAAAATTTGTGACGAATTTCTGCACATATAATACTATAGCTTAAATATTTATTGAAATTTGGCTTTAATAACTTTAAAGTTTCACGGCAGCCACTCTAACCACTGCCTTTATCGCATTGAATTCTACTTAATCTCAGATTAGTTAAATTTGTTATAAAATTCCTTTTCCGAAAGTTTGATTAACCTGCTTGAATTTAGTTTTCGAGTAATTGATGTAATAGATGGACTAAAAGATAGACCTATGGTTGAATTGACTCAATAATTGAACAACGTACCGGTGTACCTGTACAACGGTATCTGTCGATGTGCATATAAAAATGATAAATCCGCCGCTGCATTTAAACAGTGAAAACAATAGTATTGTGCTTAAATAAATTCAATGTAAGCTAGACGTGAGCTTCGATTATTCAAGAATTTTGATTAACAAAACGAAAGTAATATCTAGCCAGTGTTTCAAATTAATTAGTGAAACTTTCATCGAGACATTGACCGCAAATTTTATAAAATTTTTGTAATGAAACGCACTGAATAACAACAGAAGTCTGAAAAATATTAGAGAGCATACTGCTTTAATGAGACAGCTCTTAATATATTCCAATATAAATATTTCAAGATTTGATATAAATGGTCCATTACAGCATAAGCACAAGTCATACATATTGTATTGTATATGTACTCGTATATGTAGCACCATAAACGTACACTCAAATATTTATTATAAATTTTAAATAAATTTCTTTTAAAGTTTAAAATCACTTAATTTGAAATTTGACAGTATAGTTGTTATACATATAAATTTTAAGATTAATATTTTTTCAATGATTTATTTTAATATTTTTAAATACTTTCTATCTATATATACATACACTAATATATTATATGTGAATGTAATATTTACTTTAATTTTACTGTATAAATTTACTAAACGTATAATACTATGTAATTTATATGTGTTTGCTATATTTAAGGTACATGTGGCCAAATTATGTAAAGAAAAAGTTAATCTCTATATTTTTCTCTCTTTCACCCCTCACTCTTTCCTCCTCTTTGGATTTCAAAACCAAATATATCGTGAAATCAGAAAAGATTTTATTGTTATCTTTGAATGAATAGATGAAAAAGTTTTTCTTCTATAATTGAAAAGTTAAATTGGTATCTTATTAAGATTCAAAGTCAGTTAGTTCTTATATACATACATACACTTATATTATATAAGTATATAAAAGAAAGTAAAAATAAAACAAAAAAAAAATTTGTATCTATTTTATGGGGACTTATAAATTTTATCTTTAATTTTATTATCTTTTAGATTATTTCACTAATTAAAACTGCTTTTAAAGAAGTTTTCTTGGACAGGATTTAATTCTAATCACATAAGAAAAGTTTATCGTTTGCACAAAAAGTTAAAATTTCCAGAATAAATAAAACCAAAAAAATAAAACTAAAATCCCAATAAAAAACAAAAATTTATTCGAATGATAAGGGACAAATTTTTGGTTTTTTAATTAAAAGATATTTTTGTTCGATGGTGTGAATGATTGAACATAGAAATTCAATAATAAAAACGCCCACCACTCTTTAAAATTTATTTAAAATATTTTTTGTTTTTTCTTTTATAATAAATATAAGGTTAATCAATTGATATTCATGGTTCGTGTTCATAAATTTTCTTAAAAGCATTTTGTTTTTCCTTTTTCTTTTTTTGTTTTTTTATTAATAAATAAATAATTTTAAATTGTGAAGAATGAAATGATTAAAATATATAAACGTTATACTTAATTATTTATAATAATTGAATTAAGAGATCATAATAAAATCTGGTATGTATACGTTTAGAAATTATAGTCCTTAATATTCACAAGAATTTTATAAATGTGCCTTTTAGCATTTTTATAAAACAATTTCTAGTTGATGTTATAAAATTAGACATTTGAATTAAATGCTGAAAATATTGGTAAAGGTATATAACCTTGTTGGTAATAACTGTTATTATATTATGTTTATTCGAATTCAATTGTTGTTGAGCAGAAGAGCAAATTTCTTCCTAAATAATAATGACTCAAATTGAATAGTTTACGTTTTGTTCAACTGGATATACGAGCAATACAAAATATTTGCCATAATCAAATACTCGTATCATCTTCTCGAAACGCCGTCAGCATAATGAGAACACGTTGTGTAAAAAAAATGTTCTTCTTATAATTGTTTTATAACTTGATAAACGTTGATTTTGTCTCATGCATTCCATAAATCAATCGTATTGGGTAAATAAACTATTCACACAAAATAGTGTCCATTGAATAGAGAGAACCTTATTTTACGAATTAACAGGAAATTTTAATTACATAAGAATATGATAATAAAGAATGAGAGTTATGTGAAGTGTGAAAATAAATTTGGATTGAAATTATTGCTGATCCCTTGTAGTTTAATCACAGAAGTAGGCTATATACCCAATCAAATTGATCTTTTGAGGTTAAAATTCAATTTAATTTGTACACAATCAATCAGATAATTTTTAGTTTAAAAAAACTTCATATATACATAAATACTTTGGATTTGCTTTATTTCTTGGTAACTATCAAGAATTTTTTATAAACGTTTCGATTAATTTTGAAAAATTTCATTTTTTTTAGCAAAAAATATTTATGTAGGTACACTTTTGGTACGTACCTACATACAGATACTTAACTTCTTTCACTTTTTTTTGTATATAAATGTGTATGTGTAACATAATGCTGTTTTTTTAGGGTTTTTAAGAAAAAACGATTTTTTTTTTGTTGTTTGGTTCTTGTTTTCCTTTATTATATCCTCTTTTTGTGTATGATACCTAAAGACAATTTTTTTTTTTCGTTAATTTTGCAACATCAGGTGAATTTTTATGAGTAAAAAATTAAATACAGCAAATGCTTGTGAAAAATTTTCAATAAGAAAAATTATTTTAGTCTTTTTGCTCTTGTTGTTTTATTATCCTGACATAAAAGAATCGTTTCAGCACATCGTATACAGTATAAACGAAAAATAAACATAAAAAAAAATTTGTTTTTGAAAATATTTTGTATATGACGTGTTTGTGTGTATATACAGTGTGCATATAAGAAAAAAAAATAAAAAAATAAAAATAAGATGAAGGTTTTTGAAAAGCCATTGAAGCTACAATTTTTTTTTTCCTTTTTCTTTTTATATATTTTTTATAATATCAAAAAGCTTCAGGTAATTGTATGAGCATTAATGAAAGAAGACAAAAAAAAAAAATTAAATTTAATACCGTAATAATAAAGCTGTTTGAGAATAAAATGTGATTACACAAATAAAGAAAAAGGAACTGAAAATTAGAGCTGATGACTGACTTGAATATAAGATAAATACATTGAGAATAACAATGAAGTCCTTTATTGCCTGTTTAACAATAATAACAACAACAAAGAAAAGAACTGCAAACATACAAAATATATAAACATGTAGGCATGTGTGATTGAAAAAATATTTTTATCTTATTTATTTTTAAGAGAAAATTAAGTAATATCGCAATATAAGTATTCAACTTAATTAATCTTTACACCAGTAAAAAAGAACAAAAATTAGTTTTTATGATTTTCACGCCAAAGTCATTTTGTTTTAAATAATATTATTTTAATTTTTCAGAATATTGTGAACAGGATCTTGTTCAAGAATATTTTCTATAATGCTGCGCAAATTAAATTACTTTTTATTAGTGTACTCAAATAACAAAATATTTTCATTGAAAAACTCTAAAATCAAAAATAATTTTTGAAAATGAAGATTGACAAAAATTTATACCAATTAAATTAATATTGTTCCCGTCTTATTTGCTTGTAATATTATTCAGATTCCGAGCAACTATAGAGCAGTTTCCTTAGTATTAAGTTTTAAAAATAGTATTTGTTGAGATTGATTAATTTTTGCCTTATATGATTGGTTATGTTTGGTAGTAATTTGTATATATTTAGTATGTATAAATATACTTTTGCAAGTTAGAAATTATATGATTCTTGAAATGTAGCTAGTGGATTTTTGTAA